CCTCCTCCCTCCCTCCTTGCACCCCTTTCTTACACCTCCCTCCCGCCTCCTCCTCCTGTCCTCCTCCTCCTCCCGATCCTCCTCGCTCCCTCCCTCCACATCCTCCGGCTTCGGCCCTCCTACTCCTCCTCCTCCTCCTCCCCGTTCCTCCTCCACCCTGCCTCAGTGTAGGCCTAGTGCCCCGACTCGCAGGAGGAGAGAGGGCTGTTGCGACGCCCAGCGTGCCAGTCTGCAACTTCAGCGAAGGCCCCGCCTTGAAAGGCAGCGGGAGCGCCGTCCATCCGTGTGATTGCTGCGCAGCTTGTAACTTGTGATCGTACAGCTTGACGTCTCAAGCGAGGGCACCATTTTGAATGGGAGCAGCCCTCCTGACGCGTTACGGTGTCGCAGTTATCAACTTCGGGCCGTAGATTTTGTTGACGGCTCAAGCAATAACCTAATGTTGAAAAGAATTCGCCCTCCATCCGTGTAGCTTGTAGGAAGCCTCCAAGTTTTCATGAGCAGCTCTAAGGCGAGAGTCCCTTGTTGAACAGAACTTGTGCTCATTCCGTGTATATTCCAGGAACTTTTGAAACGAATGTGTTGGTCGCCAGGGCGAGAGCCACATATTGAAAGCCACTGGTGCGCAACCTGTGTAGGGAATGTTTGCCAGCGTGAACCCCAAACAGACAGTTCTTATACTGTGGATGTGTATGCTGTTCGGTGCAGTCAATGTGGTGCAGTCTATGTTGTGCAAACTGTGATGTGCAATATGTGTGGTGCAAGCTATCCGACGCAAGCTATGTGGTGCGCGCTATGTGGTGCAAGCTGTGTGGTGTAAGCTGTGTGGTACAACGTATGCGGGTGTCAGATGTGTGGTGCAACCTAAGTGGTGCACTCCAGGTGGTGCAATCTATGTGGTGCAAGCTATTCGGTGCAGTCCATGCGGTGCAGTCTGTGTGGTGCAACCGAAGTGGTGCAATCTGTGTGGCGCAATCCTTGTGGTGCATGGTGTGGGCGCGATTGGCGCTCATCGATGGGGACTTCCCAAAGTATCTCAAAGGCCGCGCTGGCGCGCGGGCACTTTGGTGCGGGTCGGTGACTCTGGTGGGCGCGATAGCAGGTGACGTCTACAACGGCGACGACTTCGACGATGATCGAGATGATAGCGGCGGTGATGATGCCCATGATGGTGATGCTGATTTTGCTGATGATGGTGACGGTGGCCCTGGGCGTGGCCAACGCCGCGGTGTGCCTCCAGCTGAGCACCCGCTCGGGCAAGTATGAGTTAGCCCCCACTGGCGGAGACCCCGACGTGTCTCTGGACAGCTTCCCGCCGGGCCTCCGCCTCTGCACCGATCGCAGCTTCGAGCTGCTCGGCGCGCTGGTGGGGGACGCGGACCTCTGCGCGGAACACACGAAGCAGCGGGTCACGAGCGCCGCCGCGCCTCTGGAAATTTTGGGGGAGCTCGAAAATGCGCAGGTCGCGCCGCACCTCCTGCGCCACTGCGCGTCTTTCTGCAAGCTGGGCTACTCCGCGCGCTTAGTGCCGCCTACCGCGCACACCGCCTCCTTGATGGCCATGGGCGACGCTGTTCGGGCCTGCCTTGCGCAACTGAGCGGCTGCGCGCCCTCCGACGCCCCCTGACAGCAGCCTCAGCTCAAGTTCAACAAGGGAGGGCTCGGCTTGCGCTCCGCCGCAAAGCGCGCCGCCGTCGCCTACCTCGTTTCCCGCGCGAAGAGCGCCGACCTTTGTCGGCAGCTCTACCCTGGCTACTCCGACGGCGTTGGCCGCGACGGGGAAATCCTGGCGGCTGCGGTGCAGGCCCGCAATGCAGTCGTGCGGGACGCCGACAGGGTGGTGTTCGACCATGTGCAGCACGGTGACCAGAAAGCCGTGTCCGACGCGGTGGGCAGCGCCGCGTTGGACGGGCTTTGGCGAGTGCCACCTTGGCCGGCAGGGCGCACCTCTTCCTGGCGCAGGCCCTGGGCGCTGCCGCGTGGCTCCAGGCGCCGCCCTGCGAGGCCACTGGCACCGCCTTCCCTCGCGGCCTCACGATGCAGGTCGGCCTGCAGAGGCGGATGCGAGTTCAGCTCCTGCAGGAGGAGTGCTTTTGCCGAGCCGGTGGCGAGGTGATGGACGTCTTCTGCGACCTCGCCTTGGTCTGCGCCTGCCGCGGCGACAGGACCGAACGCCACAGCGCCCTGCGCAACCAGGTCTTCTTCGACGCCCTGGCCGCTGGCTGCGCCGGGGCGGAGTTGGAACGCCCCAGGCTGCTACGCCCGCGTCCCGCCGAGGAGGCCACCTCTGGGGGCGAGCAGGGCGGGTCCCGGGTGGGCGACACTGGCCGTCGCCCTGCCGACGTCTACCGTCCACGGTGGCGCAAGGGCACGGCGGCCGCGTGGGATTTTGCCGCCGCGTCTGGGCTGGGCGCCGATTTCCTCGCCACGCCGGCCGCTTCGGCGAGCGCGGGGACGGAGCGGCGCGAGGAGTCTAAAAGGCAGCGCTAATTCGGACACCGCGCGTCTTTGCGCGGCGCAGGGATTATTCACCTTCCTCCCCATGGTGGTGGAAGCCCACGGCAACGGGGGGTGCAGGGCCTTCGGGGGTCCTATCCAAGCGTGTGGCTGACGCCGCGGGGGAAAACGCCGCAGTGGTTGCGGACCAACACGCCGAGCGACTTTCCATCTCCCTGCGCGTGGAGAATGCGCGGACGGTGGTGTTGCGACGCTTCCAGACGCAGTCTGGAGGATCGGGGGTGGCAGCGGCCAGTCTGGCCGCGGCCGCGGCTGCCTCCACGGCGGACGCCGTGCGAGGCATCCGCGGCGCTGCCTGGCGCCCCCGCCCTCCCCCCCTTCCGCCTTTATTGGGCAGCACGGACGACCCCCGCGCCCTTCCGTCAGCGTCGCGGTGGCGGCTCCTCGCCTCCTTTCCCGCGCGCCGTCTGGCCCTTCCCTGGCGGGGCGGTGGTTGATCCTGCCTAGGGCCCTCCCCGCTACGCCGCAGCCCCCCGACGACCCCGACGGCCTTTCCCGACGCAAACGATCCCTCCCGACGTCCACCGCCCACTCCGCCGCTACGCCTGCGCCGCCTGGTCGGTGTCGCCGCCGTAGGGTCCGTAGCCTCGTCGCGGGTGGCCCTTCTCTTCCGGCCCCTGGCCTGGCCTGTCTGCTTGCGGTCGCTTCCCCTCTTTTCCTCTTCCTTGCCTCCCTGCCTTTTCGTCCTGTTCCCTGCCTGCTGTCTCCGCCCGACCGTTTTTCCGCCTGCCCGCCCGCCCCGCCGGCCCTGGCCTCTCGCCTGCGCGTTCGTCGTCGTCTGCCTT